GACGGAGTGAGCTCCCGTCTCTAGTTCCAGCTCCTGCCAACCTAGCAGTTCGAAAGCAAGAAATTGCAAGTAGATAAATAGGTACCACTTAGGTGGGAAGGTAACAGCGTTCTGTGCGCCTTGGTGTTTAGTCATGCCGGCAACATGACCACAGAAACGTCTTCGGACAGCGCTGGCTCTTCGGCTTTGAAACGGAGATGAGCACTGCAACCCTAGAGTCGGATTTGACTGGCTTTCGAGCAAGGGAACCTTTACCTTTACCTTTATTCTCCCTTTATTTCATCCTGGGTTAAGCCCTGGCATTGAAAACAAATGCCAGGACTGAGCCCTGTTGAGCCCTTACACAATTTAAACCTGAGAATCTGAAGTGATACATTACTTTCAGTAGTTTTTTAAATTCAATTCTATTTTTCTAGAGTCATCATACACGCAGACAAGAAGTAATGAATAACAACTCTATTAAAAGTGGCAAAACCATATAAAATATTCTTCCTTGAGCACAAGAAATGTATTAGAGGTAGGATGTCAACTACAGCTGCTTATTACAACACTGAAAACATTTCTCTTGACGTCCTGAGTTATTAGATTGCTCTGTTGAAATGCCAGCTTATGATAGAAATCTAAATCAACTAAGTTCAGCCTGATTTGAGTTCCCTTTTGATTTCACATATGTCAAGCTCAGCCAAACACAAAACTGCTAATGCCATCACACTGAGAAGCCTTTATGGAGAATATGACATAATGAGAATCTGGAGGCAGAGAAAAGTGGCTGTTCTCTTTTGAAGGATGAAAATAAAAATGTTACCGCTAAGCCAGAAAAAAATTCTTTGAATTTATGGGAATGAGGATCTTAAAAAGCAATAACAACAAATAATTTTAAAATCATTGACATTGCCTAGATCTGTTGGTTCCAAGTAATGATGTTATCATATAGGGAATAGAATTTTTTTTTAAAAAAAAATAAAAATCAAAATTCATTTTTGAACTTGGCAGCTGTTGCAATGTTTCTAAATTTCTTTCTGTAGGCAAGTATAAAAATATGCTTGGTCACAGAAATCAAGCTTGGTAAGCATAATGAAGAAGAAGACGAAGACGAGGATGAAGAAGAAGAAGAAAAAGAAGAGGAGGAGGAGATTGGATTTATACCCCACTCTTTACTACCCAAAGGAGTCTCAGAGTGGCTTTTGAACCCTTTCCCTTCCCCTCCCTACAACAGACACCCTGTGAGGTGGGTGGGGCTGAGAGAGCTCTGACAGACACTGCTCTTTTTCAAGAACAGCTGTGCCAGAACTATGGCTTGCCCAAGGTCATCCAGCAGCTGCAAGTGAAGAAGTGGGGAATCAAACCCGGTTCTCCCAAATTAGAGTCCACACACTTAACCACTACACCAAACTGGCTCTCGCATCAGAGCTCACATCACTATTCCATGAAGTGGGGCAGCTGTCAGGGTAAACAGCTCCCCACTGTGTCCACTGATGTTGCTACCCTGCACAAGAAAGGAGACACAAGCACTGAGGGCCAGCAGAGAGCAGAGGGCAGTCATAGAATTCGGGGGGACTTGAGAAACAGTCATGTGAGGAGCAGTGACTGGGAGAACAGGAGCAGGAATGCCATTGGCAAGCTCACCAGCAGCAGATGGGAACAAGAAGACAGTCAGCAGCAGTCTGAGCAGTGGCAGGAAGAAGAAGAAGAAGAAGAAGAAGAAGAAGAAGAAGAAGAAGAAGAAGAAGAAGAAGAAGAAGAAGAAGAAGAAGAAGAAGAAGAAGAAGAAG